ATTGAGAACATTTACAGTTCCAATCGATTATTGCCTCAACGAGGCTCGCGTGTCCGCTGGACACTGCAACTTGGTTTGTTGGAACAAAACAACTTCCGTGCTCAATGAGCCCTGAGTCGACGACACTGAAGTCCCGAAATTTCGCTAATTCCGACAGCGGACACAAGCAGAGCCCAACTTTGTCTCTCGCACGCAGTGCAATGTCGGACAGTGCGTCCGCGGCAACAGGGGGTGTATATCCTAGGCTCGATGAGCCCAAGCGTCGCGCTCCGCGCACGCTATCAAAAAAGTGACCTCGTTGAGGATGTGGTCGACTACGAGTCTGACACTCCATTTCCCGCATGGGATGACGAGGAAGGCGAGCTGCGCCAGCGGCGTGTTACGAGCCCTGCTCGAGGAAACGGAGCCCATGTCCGTTTCCTTGATTCTCGTCACCCGAGGGACGTGGTGTGATCGCCAATTAACTCGACGGGGCACAGAGGCGGCAGCTGGAAGCTGCCCATAATGCGGCTATAAAGCGCGCCCTTTCACGGCTGGTCAATGGCCCTCATGTGGAATATGGCTTTCGCCCAGCGGATCCCGCTGTGGAAGCGAAGGCTGCGGTAACTCGATCGTTACGCGTCCACATCATAGGGCCCCCGGCCGGAACGGCGATGAGCTTGCCAAACGGAAAACCCTTCGAGCTCGTTTCTTGGTTTTTCCGCTGGATGCTTATCGCATTCGTTCGAGTGCTCAACGAGGTGGCTCTTATGTACCCGCAATGCGGATAATACCTGTAGTGCTCGCTCCTGGCGAAAGCGCTACAGATGACGAAGCGCTCTTTGAAGCGATGGGTGCAACGGCACCAAAACCTTTCCTCACTGTATAACCTACAGTTGGGCCACAAGGAAGTGGACGTGCTTGTTAAGCGACACCTCCGATTTGAGTTTGCCAAACTCAAGGCACGCCGTCGACTTCCTTCGAATTGTCGCCCTGCGACGATTGGGTTAACCCTTAATGCTCCCGCGAGCTCTGGGTCAGCGACCGCAAGAGCTCAGAGTTACTGCTTGAACTCAGCTCATGGCCTATCTACTTCCCTGGCTATTGCCGGGAAGCGTGGGGCGTCTGATGACGCGGGACGTCCTGATCTTTCTGATCAAAAGCGTCTACGGCGACTAGGCAGTTTTGCCGAAGTGGCGCCTCAAACTCTCACGAGTTTTCGGAGTCGAGAAATCCCCGCCACTTCACCAGATTTCGGGTTTGACCCTGGTGACGACGTCGTCTCAACAGACGTTCAACGTGATAGGGACGTCTCAGTGCTCATCGAGAAGAGTCGGTGGCGGGCGGTGACTCGTGATCTCTTCGAGCCCTTGAGGACGAGGTCCTTCGTGATAGGAGCTCCGCTGAGCGTCATGCTGAAGTAGCATATCGCTGTGAGGACGCTCTTGACAATTTGAAGAATGTTGTGCGCCAGCTGCCTCACTTTGAGGACTACCGCACTTTGTCGGAGCGACTCGTGGCCTTGGAGAAGGCGAATGCGTCGCTGCATGTGACGGTGGTGCGCTTAGCGCCATCAGAAATGGAGATTGTTGCACTCCGTGCTCAGCAACTTGGTGGGATCCGCTCCGGCGCCAACACTTCTGCTTTCACTTGCGCCGAATGCCGGTACGGCTTGAGCAAGCCCACGTAAAACACCGGGTGGGTGGGCATCCGTGTTGGGAGGTTCAGCGTATGCGCTAGGCCCCGCTTGGCCACAACCTTAAACGGTCCGATGAACCGGGACGAAGCTTCGTCCT